TTAAGATTTTTGACTTCTTCTTCTTTCTGGTCAAGTCTGGTTTGTAACCTCTTAATGAAATCTGCCAATTTGTTAGTTTCAATTTTATGTGTCTCCCTTTCTATTTTTAACTGCTCTTCCAACAGGCTTACACGCTGCGGAAGATCTTCATCTGTTTGACAGGAGTTGTCTTTTGGTTTATTAATTACTGTAATATCATCTGATGAGTAGTCGTCGTAATCTGGAATAAAGTCTTCTTCTTCCTGAATTTCTGCATATCTTACGGCTTTTTGTAAAATATCTTCCTCTGTAATGTTGGTTGGGTCTTCCATGGCAACCACATCTGACAAAGAAACTGATTCCTCAGTTTGTACAACCATTCCTTGTCTCGGTATCGACTCTGCCTGCAATATTTGAACGTCTCCTCTTTTATCATGGGTGAAGGTCACATCGTAAGGTTTACTGGTTCCAATACATTGTTGCTGACTTAGGTTCTGCTGTGAATTCATCAATTTATGTTTTTGTTGATCGAAATGCTTGATTAGTTGAATATTGTTTTTGGCTCTATACTGACAGAGGGTGCAGTGGAACGGAACAGATTCTAGTGACGTATGATGTCTAATAACATGCCATTTAATTACTTTCTTTGAAGAAGTTTTAAAAGAACACAGATTCCCATTACAGGCAAACATGCTTTTATCTGCAATAAAATATATCTTTTGTATATATATATATATAAATATATATAATGAGAGGAATAAGCTTTATATTACTTTTGGCTTAATGGAGCTCTGGATTTTGTGTACCCAAATTGGAGGTTGTTGTGTAGAGTATGGTTTTAATCGATCATGATGTATAATTTCTGTTTTCTTCTGGTTCCGAATTTTGTATACAACAGGGCTTAGTATTTCCATCACCACATATGGACCTGACCATGGGGCATCTAACTTTCTATAAAATGTATTGCTTTTGTATACCAAAGACCCCACTGTAAATTTATTTTCGACCAGCCGAGTATCGTAGTCTTTTTTCTGACGTTCTGCTGTCAGCTGTAAACTTTCTCTAGCTGTTTTAAATACTTCCTCCATCCTGTTATGTAGTTTTGAAGCATACTCACCAACACTTAAAGATTCATGTTTTGGTAAGGGGAATAGAATATGATTTGGCAAATTTACCTCCCTTCCGAACATCAAAAAGTTTGGAGTGAAACCTGTTGCTGGATGTGGAGTGCTGCGATAAGCAGCTAGTAATAACCCTACAAATTGGTCCCAATTCGTCTTGTTGTTATTTATAAAACTTCTCAACATTTTTTCCAGGGTTTGATTGAATTTTTCTATAAGTCCATTTGATGATGGTCGATAAGGTGTGGAGCGAGTTTTCTTTATCTCTAGTAAAGTGCATATTTCTTTGAAAAGGTCAGACTCAAAGTTTCTACCTTGATCAGTGTGTATTTCTAAGGGAATACCAAATCTACCAATGAATTCATGCACTAGTTTCTCTGCGACCTGTTCTGCTTGTTGGTTGGGAAGTGGATAGGCCTCCATCCAGCGTGTGAAATGGTCACCGATTACTAAAATGTATTGATTGCTACTTTTTGTTTTTGGTAATGGGCCGATCACATCTAAAGCTATTCTGTCCATTGGGTGACCCACTATATAATTTTGCAGAGAGGCCCTAGGTTTTTTACTTTTCTTAAACCTATTGCATACAGGACAATGTATTATATGGCTTTTTACATCAATTCCCATACAGTACCAGTGAAATTGGGATTTCAGCTTTTCAATAGTTTTACTCACCCCCATGTGAGCTCCAAAAATATGATCATGACACATTGTTATAACTTCTTGTCTTAGGACTTTAGGTACCAAAATTTGGAGACTAGATGTTCCTGTAGAATGTACTCTTTTTTGATAAAGTACCCCTTCTACAGGTACTATGTTATTAAAGCTTAACCAGTATTTACGTATAGCTGGGCTATACTGTACAACTTGGTCCCGAGTAGGGCAGGAACCGGTGTCTTTCCATTCATGGAGCCTACCTAAATCTGTATCCTCTCTTTGTAGAGCTTCAATTTCTTTAGAGGTGTACCCCGTGAACCAGTTTGACACATTTACCTTTGAGGAGGGAGTATCTTTGGTCTGACTCCTTGTAACTGTACGTATTGAGTCAAAATGCCCATGAATAATTACCTCACCTTTACTAAGGTTACCTATATCGTCTACCTCTGTCCTAAAATTATCCCAGTCATGCCCTGTTTCTAGGCATTCTTGACAAGTTGCGTCAGTTTTACCTTCCCTTAAGTGGCTACATCTGTCATCTTCAACGTTTTTCCGAGAAAGAGCATCTGCGTTCTGGTGTTTTTTACCTGCCCTATGTTGGATTTCAAAGTTATATTGGGATAAAACCTCTAGCCAACGAGCTACTTGACCTTGTGGATCCTTGAAATTGAATAACCATTGCAAAGAGCCATGGTCTGTTCTTAGGACAAATCTAGCCCCCAACAAATAATGCCTATACTGATTTATAAAGGTGATAACAGCTAAAAGCTCCCTACGTGTGACAGAGTATCTTTGTTGGTGTTGATCTAGTTTCTTCGACCCGTATGCAATTACCTTTTCTACACCATTCTGAATTTGCGAAAGAACAGCCCCAACACCGACATTGGAAGCATCAGTGTCCAGTATATAAGTACTCGTGTCGTGGGGGTAAGCCAGTATTGGCGCAGTACATAATGCTGACCTTAGTGTATCAAAAGAAGACTGACAGTCTGAGTCCCATTTAAACTTTACCTCTTTCCTGGTGAGCTTGCTGAGTGGGGCTGCTATCTCACTAAATTTGTATACAAATTGTCGGTAGTAGTTACAGAGCCCTAAAAATTGTTGGACTTGTTTAACTGAACTTGGTACTTTCCAATTTTTTACGGATTCTATCACGGCCGGGTTTGGTTTTATTCCCTGATCGCAAACTATATGTCCTAGGTATAAAACCTCTTTTTTAAAGAGATCACACTTTGATGGTTTTAATTTTAACCCTGCTTTTGACAGTCTACCCAAAACTTCATCTAGCTTTTCTATATGGTCTACCATATCTGACGAGTAGATGATAATATCATCAATATAAATAAGAAGGCTTTTCCATTGGAGACCTCTAAATATCAACTCTACGCATCGTTGAAAAGTACTAGGGGCGTTACATAACCCAAAGGGCATTTTAACATATTCAAATAATCCATATTTAGTTGTAAATGCAGTTTTTTCTCTATCAGCCTCCTCAATTTCAACTTGCCAATAACCACTTTGTAGGTCCATGACAGAAAATATTGACGCCGACGCCAAACAGTCAAGACACATATCAATGCGGGGCAACGGGTATGCATCTTTGACACTTACGTCATTGACTCGTCTAAAATCTATACACCAGCGTACTGTTTTGTCTTTCTTCCGGACTAACACCACTGGGCTAGCCCAACTGGACTTAGAAGGAGTTATTACGCCTGCCTCAAGTTGGTCCTTAAGGTATTTCTCTTCCTCCCCCTCAAAAGCCTTTGGAGTTCTCCTAAGCGGTTGTCGAACTGGGATTGCATTTCCCGTATTAATGCGATGTTTCACGATTGAGCATGTGCCCAGTTCAAGCTTGTTTTTAGCGAAAGCTTGTTGATTTTTTATAAGAACTTCAGCTAATTTTTGTTTAAAAACCTCATCTTTAACATTCTCACAACTCTTCTCATATAGATCATTAAGGTGGTCTGGTAGCTTGGGAATTTTGGCCTTATTCTCCAGGCTATCAGCCCCCTCAATATCATCACCTGTATAGACTTGTTGGATTTTTGGAGCCTGACTCTTCCATTGATAAGGTATTCTACGGCAGGACAAGTCCCCTTTTTCATCTCTCAGATTGCATATGTCAGACGAACAAACTCTATTTACCAACCGGGAATTTCTATCATTACATAACTCCGCATCCTTATCAAGCTCAACCACTTGCTCAAAGTCAATAACAGGATGCATTTCCCCCAAAAGAACATTCTTCTTCAATTTTACGGGAAAATTCTCCAAATTTGCCACCCTTACTGGAATTTTATCATTAAAGGGATCCACAAGACACCGGGCAATTAAAATGTTACTGGCCTCTTTATTACATGGCTCCACACTTGCGTATCTAGTGTCAATCAATTCAGATTGGTGACCTTTACCCTCCAGTATAACCTCACTGTTTGCTGGAATTGTTATGGACTCTCTTACAAAAATTCTTGAGATATTATCAGACCTGCGCATAACTTCACAATCAACCCATGTACCCCCCACCTCTATTCCCCGTCTGGTATTGATGGTGATATCAAATTCATCTATGATATCACACCCTAATAAAACATCATCTCTTATTGAGGCAACGTAAACCTCCCAAGGAAATGACAAGTCTCCAATTACTATATCTACTACAGCAACTCCTTGTGTTTTCATTTTCTTTCCTGCTTCGGCAACAACTAAACTCCTTTTCGCCTTTTGGAGTGTAGGTCTTGTCTCTTCAGAAAATCTATCCAGTAAGGACTCATTGATTACAGTTACCTCTGCCCCTGTATCTATAACAGCTTTTGCTGGCTGGCCTCCTATAGACAATGGAGCCTTTATCGTAACTGCACTAACTCTATCAATAACTACCTCAAACTCTGTGTCCTCTTCTGAGCCATCAAAATGCTCTATGTCAATTGTGTCTGATTTCTTAATATAACCATCATTATTAGGCAAGGTCAAGGTATTTAGGGTCTCTAAATTTTTAATTTCTTTATATTGTTGGATTTTTGGAGCCTGACTCTTCCATTGATAAGGTATTCTAGGGCAGGACAAGTCCCCTTTTTCATCTCTCAGATTGCATATGTCAGACGAACAAACTCTATTTACCAACCGGGAATTTCTATCATTACATAACTCCGCATCCTTATCAAGCTCAACCACTTGCTCAAAGTCAATAACAGGATGCATTTCCCCCAAAAGAACATTCTTCTTCAATTTTACGGGAAAATTCTCCAAATTTGCCACCCTTACTGGAATTTTATCATTAAAGGGATCCACAAGACACCGGGCAATTAAAATGTTACTGGCCTCTTTATTACATGGCTCCACACTTGCGTATCTAGTGTCAATCAATTCAGATTGGTGACCTTTACCCTCCAGTATAACCTCACTGTTTGCTGGAATTGTTATGGACTCTCTTACAAAAATTCTTGAGATATTATCAGACCTGCGCATAACTTCACAATCAACCCATGTACCCCCCACCTCTATACCCCGTCTGGTATTGATGGTGATATCAAATTCATCTATGATATCACACCCTAATAAAACATCATCTCTTATTGAGGCAACGTAAACCTCCCAAGGAAATGACAAGTCTCCAATTACTATATCTACTACAGCAACTCCTTGTGTTTTCATTTTCTTTCCTGCTTCGGCAACAACTAAACTCCTTTTCGCCTTTTGGAGTGTAGGTCTTGTCTCTTCAGAAAATCTATCCAGTAAGGACTCATTGATTACAGTTACCTCTGCCCCTGTATCTATAACAGCTTTTGCTGGCTGGCCTCCTATAGACAATGGAGCCTTTATCGTAACTGCACTAACTCTATCAATAACTACCTCAAACTCTGTGTCCTCTTCTGAGCCATCAAAATGCTCTATGTCAATTGTGTCTGATTTCTTAATATAACCATCATTATTAGGCAAGGTCAAGGTATTTAGGGTCTCTAAATTTTTAATTTCTTTATATTCTTGTTTATCTTTTTTACTGTTATCCCCTTTAATCTCTAAACTCCTGTCACACTCACTTACTTGGGCTGAGACTTGGCCAACAGACCCAGCCCACTGTAGTTTAATGAATTCGTCTGATTTTGCATAGCCAATTGTGACTGATCTCTATTGTTCCACTTTCTATCCCTATTCCCTCTAAATGGACAGTTTCTTCTTATGTGCCCCTCTTGATTACAGGAATAGCAAATAAATGAGTTATCATTTGGTGAATTTTTGCCATTTAATTTATTATAATATCCCCCAGAGTCTCGGTTAAAATTACCATTTCCTTTTTTCTCAGATTTTAGGACATTTAATATTTCCTGTTGACCTTGTTTTACCTCTTTAATTGCAACCTGGTGTTCTTTTCGCAACTCATCTAATCCAGATTTTAACTCAGAATGAGTAACATACTGATCTTGCGTCCTGCATACCTGCAAGGTTTCAGTTACTTCCTGGCCTGCCACGTCATCACCCGCGTTTACCTGTCTTACTTCGTATTTTTTCCCAACATTCTTCCTGCAACATTCGAGCCATGAAACTTGATTAATTGCCTCTTGCAAGGATACTGGCTTTTGTATGAGAACCTCATACGCTACTGATTGGTCTGGCAGACCTTTAATAAAGTGTTCCGTTTTGAAACGGTCCAGCAAACTTAAATCATTTACTTCAGGGTATGCCTTACCAACTAGTCTCTCCACACGAGTTGCATATTCTTGTATGCTTTCTTTCTGACCCTGTTTGATAAACTGCAAATTGGTCCTATACGTCTCTGGTAAAATGTGATCCCCAAATCTCTGAGACATTGCATCATGTATTTGTTGTATGTCTCTGTGCAAGGAAGCAGGAAGCTCATTTACGAATACCAAGGCGTCATCTCTAAGACTATTTAAAATGAGCTCCTCCACTTGTCTGTCGCTGGACCATTTGAATCTACTACTCAATAGCCTAAACTGTGTCCAGAAGGCCTTGAAATCTCCCTTACCATTAAAGAATGGGCTTCTAGGTTTTGGTTCTTCCCTTTGCAGTTGCTGAACATGACTACTTACTCTTATAGGATTTGTGCTAACTGGACATGATGTATAAGGGTTATTAGTACTTGTATTAGCTGCTAGCTGAGGGGCTGTTAATACCTGGTTATGTTGTTCAATGGATGTACTATTAAAGTCTAAACAGCTATTTTGACTGAAGTCATGCATATTGGCGTTATTTTTAGCCACATGGTTACCCCTTACCAGTTGCGCTATATTTTCCTGATTTAACTTAACTTGCGTACTCATCTCAGAAACTTGCGTGCTCAACTCAGAAAAATTATTATTTTGATTTTTCAATTGTCTTTGAATGTCCATTAGAATGGCCGTAATATCAGTGCCTGGCAAGCTTGTACTTGATTCAATATTTTCCTGATACACACTGGTATAGTTATTGTGTAGGGGTGTGTGTATAGGACTTACCATTGGACTGGATGGACTTGAGATTGACATATTGTCTATTTCTTCCGTACCTAGGTCTATCAAATTACCTGATTCTATATTTTCCTTCTGTGTAATAATTATATTCCTCCCCCCCTTTCCAAAATTAGGAGTTGGAATTTTTCTATTTCTAAGATCCATGGTACCCTCCTAGTTATTTCCCCAAAATATGGCAATGGAAATACTTATTCCCTTATTTAAAGATAGTAGAAGCTAATTGCACCTCTATTTCTCTATTAAATAATTGCTAGGAAGCTAAATGCACCTCCTTAATAAATATTTTCTTTTTCTAGGAAGCTAAATGCACCTCCTTTATAAATAAATATTTTCTTTTTTCTTTCTAGGAAGCTAAATGCACCTCCTTTATAAATATATATTTTCTTTTTTCTTTCTAGGAAGCTAAATGCACCTCCTTTATAAATATTTTCTTTTTCTAGGAAGCTAAATGCACCTCCTTTATAAATAAATATTTTCTTTTTTCTTTCTAGGAAGCTAAATGCACCTCCTTTATAAATATATATTTTCTTTTTTCTTTCTAGGAAGCTAAATGCACCTCCTTTATAAATATTTTCTTTTTCTAGGAAGCTAAATGCACCTCCTTTATAAATAAATATTTTCTTTTTCTAGGAAGCTAAATGCACCTCCTTTATAAATATTTTCTTAATTTTAGAAGCTAAATGCACTCCTATATTTTCCAAGATATTCTATTTATTACAGTATAATGTATAGAGCTAAATGCACTCCATACACAATATTTGTCACTTAGTGTGTTCCATATAAATTAATATTTCTAAAAATAGACGTGCCAAAGTTCTGAAGACGTGAGTACTAAACCGCTGCCACCATTGTCGTAATTTCTACTTTTTGCTATGTTTTTGTATAGTTATAAGCAAATATATACGACGGAAACTCTTTAAATTGACTAACTACAGTGTTGTCTGTCTTTCATCAGGCCTATGTTCTCCACGGTAATATTGGTAGCGTAAATGAATAATTCGTAGTAAAATAATATATTTATTACGGCACAACGCAACAATGTACAGACTAAACTATCGTAATATATTTAACATGTAATTTCCAACATATTCTCAAGATACTTGTCTATAAATAATTTGTCATGTAAATTTGCATAAATAGGCGGAGCTGATCTCAATAATAATATTTCGCATGTGTTTTTGGAACTAGGATAAGGAATTGCCAAACGATATGTGTATAGTAAATAATTTAGACCATGCGAGGCATACAGCTATCTGCGCTGCTTCTTACCTCTAAAGGAACCACCCGGGATCTTTGCATTTGCCAAAATGTAAACAGCAAAGACTGAGGAATTTGACCTTTGCACTGGTATTTATTTTTAAAATACCGGAAGTAAATATTCTAAGCAGGAACAGAAATGAAACGTCAAACGCTGACAAAAACATGGGAGTCCTCGACTCAAAATGATCCTTTCTTCGTAAGAAAATAGGTAAATCTATTTAGATAAAGCATATATTAACTTTAGCTTATGCTTCTTGTGTAGTTTTGGATCCATACTTAGAATATTTACCAAATGGCTGCGCTTTGAACAGTACATGACGAAATTGCGCCATTTTTGGCACTGATAATATAGTTAATAACTAAAAGTGTAACGTACGCTTTCTGTGCATTAAAAAGTCACAGAAACTATAAATACATATTATCACATTTTACACTCTCAAAACATAAAACTGATATTAAATCATTAATTGGGAACCACAAGTGCACATTTACAACACGTGTATTTAGGTTTTTAATTTTGGGTCCTGTTTTTTAAATTGGTCTACATTGAGGTCCAAAGGGTCCAAAATTAAACTTAGTTTGATTTTAACAAAAATTGAATTCTTGGGGTTCTTTGATTTCCTGAATCTAAACATGTGTTTAGATTTTTGATTATGGGCCCAGTTTTCAAGTTGGTCCAAGATAGGGTCCAGTATTTAAACTTTGTTTGATTTCAACAAAAATTGAATATATGGGGTTCTTTGATATGCTGAATCTAAACATGTATTTAGATTTTTGATTATGGGCCCAGTTTTCAAGTTGGTCCAAATTGGGGTCCAAAATTAAACTTTGTTTGATTTCAACAAAAATTGAATATATGAGGTTCTTTGATATGCTGAATCTAACCATGTATTTAGATTTTTTATTTGTAGGCCCCGCTATCAAATTGGTTCATATTGAGGTCAAAAGGGTCCAAAATTAAACTTTGTTTGATTTCATCGAAAATTGAATTATTGGGGTTCTTTGATATGCCAAATCTAACCGTGTTTTTAGATTTTTAATTTGGGTCCTGTTTTTTAAATTGGTCTTCATTGAGGTCCAAAGGGTCCAAAATTAAACTTAGTTTGATTTTAACAAAAATTGAATTCTTGGGGTTCTTTGATATGCTAAATCTAAACATGTGTTTAGATTTTTGATTATGGGCCCTGTTTTCAAGTTGGTCCAAGTTGGGGTCCAAAATTAAACTTTTTTTGATTTCAACAAAAATTGAATATATGGGGTTCTTTGATATGCTGAATCTAACCATGTATTTTGATTTTGGACATTGGACCATAATAGGTAAATTAAAAAAATTCAAGTTCTTAGACCACATTCTTTCTGTGTCAGAAACCTATGCTGTGTCAAATATTTAATAACAATCCAAATTCAGAGCTGTATCAAGCTTGAATGTTGTGTCCATACTTGCCCCAACTGTTCAGGGTTCGACCTCTGCGGTCGTATCAAGCTGCGCCCCAGCGAAGCATTTTATTAATTATTTGTATTGCGTGATCACGCAAATACGCAGCTTATCTGGAGCACTGAATTCTCTAGAAAATATTTCAATAGGTTTCAAAATTTATATTTTAAATATACACACTGCAGTTATTCATAGATAAATAAAAAAATATATTGTACCCTTATATCCAATCACAGCGCTCCTAAGTTGACTTCCTTCACCTGCCTTGGGTAGGATACATTTTTTTGTACATGTCAACTCGTACCTTCGGCAACTCGTACTCAACCAACTAGTACCCTATTTTTACCCAACTCGTACCCAATATTTTTTTTAACATGATAGTGTTTCATTTATAAGGTTATATTTAAAATTTAATTGTTATTATTATTTTGTAATTGATCTACTGATAGGATTTATATCTAAAAAAAAATCCTCAAGTTTGAATGATCTATAGAGTATTGGAAAATGATATTTTAAACTGCATATTGCGATTGACATGTGATTTTTATACGGCCGCAAAAAAATTTTGTGGTCGTATATTGGTATGACGTTGGCGTCGTCGTCGTCCGGCGTCGTCGTCCGAAGACACATTGGTTTTCGCACTCTAACTTTAGTTTAAGTAAATGGATCTTTTTGAAATTTGACCATAAGGTTAAATACCACAAAAGGAAGGTTGGGATTGATTTTGGGGGTTATGGTACCAACAGTTAAGGAATTAGGGGCCAAAAAGGGGCCAAAAATAAGCATTTTCTAGTTTCCAGACAATAACTGTGGAACGGTGTATGGATCTCTCTGAAATTATACTACAAGTTTCCATACCACAAAGGGATGGTTAGGATTTGCTTTGGGGGGTTATGGCTCAAACCGTTTAGGAATTAGGGGCAAAAAAGGGGGAAAAACCAGGTTGTCCTGGTTAATGGACAAATACTTTATTACAAAACATAATTTAAAGCAGTGTAAGGGAGATAAATCAAATACATCATTGAAATTATCTCCCTTACACTGCTTTTAAATTATGTATAAAGTAATGGTTAATGAACAATAAAGATAATTTAAAACAGTGTAAGGGAGGTAATCCAAATACAATGTTTTGGTTACTTCCCTTACACTGCTTTTAAATTATGTTTAAAGAAATGCATATTTATAAAGGAAGACCAGTAAAAAATATCTGCAAATGTTGCATCTTTTTTTTTTACAAAAAAATCCATATGAAAGATTTGACACTATATTTTTAATTCTATTATAAAATAGATTAAGTAAGCACTATGGTAAATTTAAATGGGTAATTATGGTTGCCAACTCGATTGGAAATTTGAATTGAGATTATGACCATATCTTGAGGGAAAGAATTTTTTGGGGGAAAAAGGGGGGGGGGGATAAAAAGAAATTGTGGGGGGTCAATTTTTTCTCATTTCAGATTTCAGAAATTAAAAAAATTATTCTTCAAATATTATTTTTTTTTTCAAATTTCAAATATTGAAAAATTTCAAGAAGAAATCTTTAATTGCACAGTATGGCGCATTAGATTTGTAAAATCTTTGATCACATTTATTTATTTGTTATGCCGAATCCAACAGTGTATTTAGATTTTTAATTTTGGGTCCAGTTTTCAAATTGGTCTACATTAAGGTCCAAAGGGTCCAAAATTAAACTTTGTTTGATTTTAGCAAAAATTGAATATATGAGGTTCTTTGATATGCTGAATCTAAACATGTATTTAGATTTTTGATTTTTGGCCCAGTTTTCAAGTTGGTCCAAATTGGGGTCCAAAATTTAACTTTTTTTGATTTCAACAAAAATTGAATATATGGGGTTCCTTGATATGCTGAATCTTACCATGTATTTAGATTTTTTATTTGTGGACCCCGTTATCAAATTGGTTCATATTGAGGTTTGTTTGATTTCATCTAAAATTGAATTATTGGGGTTCTTTGATATTCCAAATCTAACTGTGTGTTTAGATTTTTAATTTTGGGTCCTGTTTTTTCAATTGGTATACATTAAGGTCCAAAGGATCCAAAATTAAACTTAGTTTGATTTTAACAAAAATTGAATTCATGGGGTTCTTTGATATGCTGAATCTAAACATGTGTTTAGATTTTTGATTATGGGCCCAGTTTTCAAGTTGGTTCAAGATAGGGTCCAGTATTTAAACTTTGTTTGATTTCAACAAAAATTGAATATATGGGGTTCTTTGATATGCTGAATCTAACCATGAATTTAGATTTTTTATTTGTGGGCCCCGCTATCAAATTGGTTCATATTGAGGTCCAAAGGGTCCAAAATTAAACTTAGTTTGATTTTAACAAAAATTGAATTCATGGGGTTCTTTGATATGCTGAATCTAAACATGTGTTTAGATTTTTGATTATGGGCCCAGTTTTCAAGTTGGTCCAAGTTGGGGTCCAAAATTAAACTTTTTTTGATTTCAACAAAAATTGAATATATGGGGTTCTTTGATATGCTGAATCTAACCATGAATTTAGATTTTTTATTTGTGGGCCCCGCTATCAAATTGGTTCATATTGAGGTCAAAAGGGTCCAAAATTAAACTTTGTTTGATTTCATCAAAAATTGAATTATTGGGGTTCTTTGATATTCCAAATCTAACCGTGTATTTAGATTTTTAATTCTAAGTCCCCTTTTTTAAATTGGTCTACATTAAGGTCCAAAGGGTCCAAAATTAAACTTAGTTTGATTTTAGCAAAAATTGAATTCTTGGGGTTATTTGGTATGCTGAATCTAAACATGTGTTTAGATTTTTGATTATGGGCCCAGTTTTCAAGTTTGTCCAAGTTGGGGTCCAAAATTAAACTTTGTTTGATTTTAACAAAAATTGAATATATGGGGTTCTTTGATATGCTGAATCTAACCATGTATTTTGATTT